AAACAACAAAAAAAACAAAACCACAAAAACAACAAAAAAACAAAAACACCCGTTCGTTTCTTTGATTCGAACGAGCGTCCCTGTTGGGTCTCATTTCACAGCATTCGTCCTTGGACTTATTGGGGACAAGACGTTCGTTTTTGATGGTTTTCTTAAGAATGATGAATAATGAATGATGAACAGTTTATGAGATGAAATGAAAATACGAATACATGATGAAAACTGAATGATGAACAGTATATGAGATGAAATGAATATTGATTTATGAAAGAGCGTTCCAAGGAGGAATGACTCAGAACTTGATTATTGAGATTTGTAAAGTATGAATGTGGGTAAAGATAGCCGGGCGTTTCATCCTGATATTCCGTGAGTACTCGTCCTCACGTAGAGGCAGTACGTCATGTGTGGGAATGGCAGGAGGTCCTAGTCCTGATGATTTTTGGACAGATAGTATTAACCTCGGGTGGCAGCTGATGAGAGTTCCAGTTACTACATCACCCGGGTGCACGAACACCGAAGCTACACAGAGTTCATACAGTACGGGCAGTCAGTTCGATATGTCGGTTTATTTTAGTGAGTACGTTTAAAGGGTTGTTATGTAATGAATGTGTATGGTGAGAGATGCATGTATGGTGAATTGTTACCTGAAATTGTATGTTGATGCAATGAGTTAACTTACGTAAGCTTACCCATTTTCGTTTTCCTTGTGGTGTCACAAGGACTTGTACGTACGTAATGTTTTGCAATGAGCATGCAGTGTGGAAATGTGAGCAGAGGGAGATGAGCGTTTGGAAGATTTGCGTTGAATGAAGAGAACCTGGTTGATGTTGAATGAAGATCGCAGCAGTGAGACCGACCGCCAAGTAGTGTAGTAGTAGTGTATTTGTTTGAAGAAGTGGGCGTTCGACCATCTTTGATTTCGTTCAAGTTTTATTTCGACGTTCGGTATTTGTCTTGTGTAAAACGTTTCGGCAGTTTCCGTTAAGGTTGGTTTTTAAATTGTTAACTTGATGTTGTTGGAGTGCAACTTTAGCACATTCGCCGTTTATGTTGGATTGTACTCAGGACGTTCGTCCTTGAGCGATCGTTAATGTCTCATTCTTTAACTTTTAGTTGTAAAACTGTTTGAGATTATTATTAAATGTGATTTTCTCTAATTTATAGTTATAACTGTTTTTTGGGATGTACAGATTGGATATTTGTCAACACTCATTTCGTCGGGTGTTTACTAAATTTTTTTCATCAATCAAAAAAAACAAAAGAAAAACAAAACATATAAATTAATAAAAAAACAAAAAATAAAAAAAACTTCGTCCTGGCACTTGTGTGACCGTCGTCAGCTGCCTTGCGCGACCGTTCGTCCTTCACCTTTCGTTGATCGTTCGTCCTTAGCCTCAGCCGTTCGGATCATCCACAAGCACTACTCGACCGTTCGGCACATTCATGCCTTTAGGACGGTCGGCAATTCTATGTTCAACAGTGCGGTCATCCTTGGCCCCAAGTGTTTAGAGTGTTTGTTTTAAATTAGGTTCGCTCTTCGTCTGGACGTTCGGTCTTGGTTATGTGTGATTAAACGTTCGGTCTCATTGTGATATCGTTCGTCATAGACGGTGTTGTGCTTATTTGCGTCCAGCGTTCGGTTTCGTGCTAGGTCCAGTATAGCGTTCGGCAATCTCGAGCGTTCCGGTCTGTGTGGTAGTGTTTTGAGCGTTCGTTTTTGTTTGTTTTGGTTAGCAGGCTCCCGTATTTGACCGAGCGTCCAAAAGTAGTGGTGGCTGCATTTAAATTCGGGCTGCGGCATTACACTGAGGATTTTCCCACACTTCAGCTGCCTGTGTCCGTCAATTAACAATCTGAAAGTATTGACAGTTTGGGGGCTGCTTATACTTTGGATGTTTAATTAAATGTGAAGGCTAAAGAAAAAGGAGGATGGGTGGGAGTTCATGGCTGGTAAGCGAGACGACTAATGAGGCAGGGGCAAACCGCGGCAGTAGCATGGGGCTCCATTATTATACGGGGCCTCGTTGAAAGGGAGCACAACCAAACACGGGAAGAGACAATAGTTGGAAGACATGGTGACAGCAAACCAGCGTCCAGTCTGACAAACCATTACAGATATGGGTTTCTGAAGAAAATATTTTTTTTTGGACTGAACTTCTTCACTTTCGGCGTGGTCTGCACGGGGTAGCATTGTACCTCTGTTGCCAGGTGTCTCTGGTGTTTCTCTGTACAGATCCATCGGTAAGGGACACTTACAACACTCTAACACACTCACATGCGAGGAGGGAGGGAGGGCAGCGGGGAGGTTTTAAAAAAAAAAAAAAGGACTTAACTAAGGGAGGGGAGGGGGGAGAGGGGAGAGATAAAAAAAAGGAGAGGAGGGAGCCTTATGTACAGGAGACTAAAAAAAACTCCATATCGTCGTATCCTTGTTGCCATCCCGGTGACCTTTGGTCACTTCACTAACATTTTGTGGCAACCTGCAAACAACGCTGGGAAGGAAGGGGAAATTGAATCCAGTAAAGAAAAGGAGACTAAGACAAAAAGGAAAATTTTGATCTTCTCTTGAAGCTGCGAAGGTAAGTTTCGTATACCTAAAACTCTTTGGTCATGCTTATCTATATATCCATAGACATGTTTTCTTTATGCATGGGATGAATGAAATAGTGATTCGGTATATGGTTACGTTCGCTTTCCTCTGTTAATCAAAATGCACCTGTAGTTTCAACAAAGATTCGTCAGTTATAAGTAACAATAAGTACAAGAGTGTTTTCCCTCAACTAAAAATATTTCAGTATCCATGTACCCAGAAAACACACAACCTTCCCTTATTGAGACCGGTGATCACAGCTTATCATTTTTCATTCCGGATCTAGCATTTTCATGTCTATTATGTATCACAACAGCATTGACACTCATATAACGGCTCACCACGTCTTAACACTCAACAAATCCGATTTGCACCGTCGGCTTCTGCACCCCATAAACCCTGAATTATAAACAATATTCATGGACTCGTGCACAGATCCCTCACTTTGGAGGACGCTCGTCCAACAGAAGAGGACGCTCGTCCAACGATGCTCGGACGCTCGTCCACTACCGCTCGTCCACAATTCAAAGTTGATGTCAGAAAAACGTTAGATTTATAACGGCGTTAAGTGGGTAGGATTCAATTGATACAAATTTCAAAACATAGGTATCAAATGCCTACATTTTTAAAATCGGGTACTAAACAGCAAATTACCTCCGAACATGGGGACTAAGTAGGTAATTAAGCCTAAAACTTACTCAAAAGCACAACAATTTAAGCAACAAAAACAAGTAAAGTTTACAACTATCAGGCAGCAAGCTCAGGTACACTTATTACCAGCACCTGCTTATTGCATGGATTGCCTTGCTGTGTATTATATGACTCGGGGGCAACTCACTCCTTCATCTCGAAGGCGTGCGTTGAGAAGCTGGGGTTAGATGAGAGCGGGATGCAGTTCGACCTGGTGGTGTCAACCCCAACGGCTGGTGAGGTTAGGACGTCTACTATGTGTGTTAGATGTCCTATTGAGGTTAGGACGTCTACTAAGGTCAACCTAATCTATTTCCCTCTAAAAGAGTTAGAGGTGATTTTAGGAATGGATTGGTTGGCTACCAATCACATTCTTATAGATTCTGGAGGAAAGAGACTGGTGTTTCCGGATGAAGAAGAAGAAGAGTTGTCTGTGACGCTCGTTCAACTGAAGGAAGATATCATGGAAGGCGCCAACTGCTTTCTAATAATGACGCACGAAGCAAAGGAGTTTGGAGAATTAAGACATGAATGATCGTCCAGTAGCGAGTTCAGTAGAGGACGATCGATCGTGGACGAATTTCTGGACGTCTTCCCGGACGAAGTACCTGGACTACCTCCTCCTCGCGATGTAGAATTCACGATAGACTTGGTAATGACGACAGGACCTATCTCGATGGCACCTTACCGAATGTCACCGGCAGAGTTGGTTGAACTTAAAAAGAAGATTGAAGAATTGATGGACAAGCAATTCATCAGGCCGAGCGCCTCACCTTGGGGAGCGCCTGTTCTGTTGGTGAAGAAGAAAGATGGCAGCTCTCGGCTTTGTATTGACTACCGACAGTTAAACAAGCTGACCATCAAGAACAAGTATCCATTGCCTCGGATTGACGATCTGCTGGATCAGCTACACGGTGCAATCGTATTTTCCAAGATTGATTTACGATCGGGATATCACCAAATTCGGGTTAAGGAAGGAGATATCCAGAAGACTACTTTCAGGTCTCGCTACGGACACTACGAATATGTAGTGATGCCGTTCGGTGTAACGAACGCACCAGCGATCTTCATGGACTACATGAATCGCATCTTCAGGCTGTATCTAGACAAGTTCGTGGTTGTCTTCATTGATGACATTCTGATCTACTCCAAGAGCTGCGAAGAGCATGAGGAACACTTGAGAGTTGTACTTGGCGTGTTGAGGGAGAAGGAGTTGTACGCCAAGTTATCCAAGTGTGAATTTTGGATGAAAGAAGTGCAGTTCTTGGGAGACGTAGTCTCGGCTGGAGGCATCTCAGTGGATCCAGCCAAGGTGCGAGCGGTTTTGGAATGGGAGAGTCCTCGTTCAGTCACTGAGGTTCGAAGCTTCGTAGGACTTGCGGGCTACTATAGACGGTTCATTGAAGGATTTTCTAAGATAGTAGCTCCGCTGACTCAGCTGACCAGGAAGGATCAACTGTTCGCTTGGACCGATCGGTGTGAGGAGAGTTTCCAAGAATTGAAGAAGAAGTTAACGAGTGTAAGAACCTAAATATATATATATATATATATATATATATATATATAATATTAAAAGATGATGGGGTGAAAACATTATAAAAAAAATGGATATAAGGAATGTGACCTTGGGAGGAAAGCACGCAGATGTCCACAAATGGAGGGCCCCTTTTTGCTTACTTTTGGCACATATTGATTGAAGAAAGTCAAAAAAAAAATAAAAAGGGTCCAGAAGGGGATGATTTAAAAGAAAGACATTGAGGCACCCTTCTGTAATCAAAATCCAGATTGAAAGAGAAGCTAGAAGAATGGGCGATTACCATTTCGTCTACAAGGACGTAGAAGGAGCCTCTACTCAATGGGACGATATCCAGAGAAAGCTTGGAAATTTGCCCGAAAAACCACCCGCTTTCAAGCCCCCACCTTTCACCCCTTCCTCTGATGACCAACCCAAAGACAAAACCTGGATCGATTCCAAAACCTCCGAAGAACTCGAAGACGACCTCGACGATGATCGATTCCTCCAAGAATATAGGTTCTCCTTCACCTTTTTGGTTTTTTCAAGGTTTTTCTTTCGTGTGTTGGTTTTGTTTTTCTCCAAGGTGGTCGAGATTGAACAAAATTTGAAGCTTATAAAGATTTTGTTGATGGGACTCTTTGTATTGTTTGCTTGAGAACAACTGTATGAGACTTGTATTTGTGTGTTTATTTTATTTGTTGATGAGTACAACTTGGTTGGGAATTGTTGTGGATTTGATATTTAGAGCAAATTAATGCTTAGGAGTCTGTTTAATTACCCTTTTGTTCCATATTTTGTATGTTATCAATACGATTTTGTTAGGTATTGTTTTCTGGATTAACATTTTATGGTGAATTAAAGCTTAAGAGCCTATTTTCGCTCTTGTTTATGGCTTTTTTGCGCTGAACTTACTTGAAAAGTAGGAATAAATGAGATTATGAGAAAGCAAAATTTGGTTTACTTGCGTGTGTGTGT